TAGTATTTACCATGTCTACGTCAGAACTGGAGCTCATTTCAGCTGAAACTTTATTCAATAACCTAGCAAATGTTACTTTCTTCTCCAGTTTTGGATCCGATATGTGTCTCATCGACGGAGAAGTCGATGGAGTAGAACCTTCACTGGCAAATGATGTGTCTTTATTATCTACACCATATTCAACAAACGCAGGTGCGCTTTCGACTGTACTTAATGTACGCTTCTCTGACATTTGTATTAGCTCTCCCATAGTTATCTTTTTTGAATGATCATTAGCGGATGCAGGACTAATCAGCTGTTGAAGTATTTGCTTTTTCTCTGCTGCGTTTTTCTTTGTTGGAGTCGAGTTGTTGCGTTTCTTACGAGGCGATGGTGAACCTGTTTAGAAATAGTTTATTGTACAAATTATGTTTATAAAAAAAGAACTAACTACAAGAAGCATTTGATACAACACCGAATATTCATGACAACACTACACAATAACAAGGAAGTTAAAGAATTTATTTGGCAATAATTGAAAAGGTGAAATCAATATCATGCCTCTTAGCTGATATTTCGCTGAAAAGTTTGGTGCATCTAATGGAAGCCAATTCTTTAGGATTAGTGCCTTTAGGTAAAATATTTTAATTTTAACTCATTTGCCAATCAGAGTTTGTGTCATTTGTAAAGTGTAATTTACTATTTCTACATTTACATTGAAGATCAAATTAAAATGTTTTGTTAATGAGAATCTATAGTTATGAATGCACTAATTCGATAATTGAAATCAAGTAAGCGTTTGATTCCAACGGCTCCACACCAGTAAGGGACAATGCTGTGCGTTTACATACTAAAATGAAAATAAATCCAAGTGGTTCAATGGTTTCTTATCAGTTTCTTGTCAATTATTTGTGTAAAAGCAGAACAAAGTCCAAGAGCATGCTGAAGCAAACACAATCTACAAATCCAGAAGTCATATTGCCAAATCCATAAAGAGAAGAAGGAAAGTTATAATATAAGGAAAGCAGAACCAATTTAAATAATCCTTGCTGAAAAGACAAATAGAAAATTGACAAAGCAATTGACAATGTAATATCTGGATGTAACATTTGGACGATCTACAAAGGTGCTAACGAAGGAAGGAGCGACTACGTAAGAAATGCTTAAGTGTCAGTGCAGAGTCAAATGTGCACACATCGAGAGGCCTCAAGGGGCGGCGAGGAGGTCGCAACAGTTATGGTCGGCATTCCACATCGAGACATTCAAGTAGCGAGGTTACATTCAGGTGCAGGCCCGCCGCGCGCTCCGCACAGTGATCCAATGTTGGTGACGTGAAGTGATGGCTTTCAAGTCGAATGTTATGGCTATAGGTTTTAGATTCCATCATTTAAAACGTTTTTTAACCAAAATGATAGAAATATTTTTAATGTGATTAAAGTTTTGTCAATTCAAATCTTATATTTTGACAGTATAGAAGTTAATACCAATGTTATTGGAATGAAATTTAGAGTATAGAAATGTATTAGCAATGAGGATGAATGTATGGAATGTGTTGGTGCTGAGGGCGCGGCGGCGGGAGACG